TAAATGCAACATGCTGCAAGCAATTAGGGGTAAGCCAAAAGTAATGGCAGGAACTGAAACCACAAGACTTAATGGCCTTAAATGCGCAACTGCCACCAGAAGCAGGTTGGAAATGACGGTAGTTACAGTATAAAGAAACTATATTTATTATAATACAAAAACTTAAATTTTTTTTCATATATATAAAAAAGTTGTTTAACCATTGCACTTTCAACTATCTATCATTTGATCTAGCTTAGCACACTCAAGAGTTTTTCAATGAAATGAAAATATCTTTTAAGTCCATTGACACCATTAAATTGCAAGCGCTTAACAAGTGAACAAAATTAAACTGAGTGAAAAACCCCATGACGTATACGCACCGTTGTGCGGTAAGGATTTCGTTCTTTTCACAATTTTTATGCATTTCACTCCAAGGCCTTAAGCAGATAAATGTCATTCCTTTTTGTATTTCAATTTCGACAACCGCTTTAATTAAACAAAAAGGGGATGATGATAAAAAGAACATAAAGCCGGCTGACAGACAAAGGAATTAAGCGAAAAGCGAACGAAGGAATGGCGGTGCATGCACATAAACAACGCGAAAACAACAAACACCATTGTCAGGCGCAATTATCAAGGCAGGTGCTCAGAACCCACAACAAAACCCTGAATAACAACAACAGCAGTATGGGGATTTATGTGCGAAGAAAAGCGTTGGGACAGGAAAACGCGAATGGGTACAAGATACGCGTTACTTAAGCGGTTAGCTGATGTTGAAGGTGTGGCAGACAATGGGAAAAGCTCCCGGATGCGGTGGGTGGCGGAAAAAGGTGGTGGCTGCAATTGAAAGTCTGTAAGCCGATTGCCCAAGGCGGCAGCAGCACAAAAACACAAGTTCAGGTGGGGCAAACTGGGGATCAAGGGATGTGGGGACGTGGGGGGTTGGAGGGTTGGAGGGTTTGGAAAGCGCAAAAATCCTATTTATGTCAATTCGGAAAGTTAAGTGGGAAAAGAAAAACTCAACTTCAAGGTTTTCCCCGAAACAGACGGTAAGATTGCGCAAAATTCTCAAAAGACAAACAACGACTTGTCAGGAGTCAGCGAAACGAGAAAGTAAAATTATATTTGGTAAACAAATGCAATCAATTTTCGTGTGGCCTTAAATTGCTTTAACTCGGATTCATAACAGGGAAAACAAATGATATTTTGTAGCTAAATAAAATAATACAATTTGCGAGAGCCGACAAAAAAAACAGTTGGGTCAGTCTTGGGATTCTTATACAATTAAATTAAAGTCGACTTACAATATATATATATATATTGTAACAATAATGTAAATTAAAATCTATATTGCATGATTGAAGGATTTAACAAATATTACCAATGTAAATTTTTTATAAAAAAAAATCATGGAAAATTCATTTTCTTTCACAAAACTCAGCCATTTAATGACAACAACAGTGACCGCAAATAATAGTTATGAGTTCAAAAAAATTAAAGCCCAAAAAGTCTTTTAAAACGAGAAAATACAAATTACGCTTCTGTTAATATTTGATTTTTAATTTTTAATTTTAAAATCATTTTTTATTTTTATATAAAAATGTAATATTAATATTTATTTTTATTATTTAAATTAATTTTCAATATTCAAAAAAATTAGAAAAAAAATTTGTACTTCTTAATTTTTTATAATAAAAATTAAAAAAATATTTTAAAAGTTCTTTAAAGGCTGAGCCCGCATTAAAGAGCTGCTACAGTTTAAATTGACACACCAACTCCTACCCCAGCGGGATTCAACTGCAAGGACTTGAAGCAGAGCGAATTGTATGCAAACATTTACACTGGCTGGGGGCCGGAGGAGCAAAGGCATCCTGTGCGCAGGAATAAGCCGTGCCAGCAGGATCAGGCAGGAACACTTAAGCCCAAATGGCAACACAAACACACGTCCTGGCAAGGCCAATAAGGCCGAAGGATGACAACGGCGACACTTGAGCAAATGCGTTGCCGTTGCCCCGTCTTTTCGTTCTGCTCCTTGCCACCTGCCACGCCCCTTCGGGTAGCGCCCCCTGCCAGGGGGAAGGCAATCTACGAGACGAGTTTCCTCCGACCAGGAATGTCGCTTTCACGATATATATGCGCTCGATATTTACGCATTTATTTATGCCGCTCTTTATTAGCTTTTTATCGTTCATTTATTTTGCTCGTTATGTTCGCGTCGTCGTAGTCGCTATTCCCCACCTCCGCGGCATATTTGCACTGCTATTTTTGGATTGCCCGCCGCTTTCACAGGCGAAACGATAAGAGGGCCCTCAAATTCGAATCGCTAACACGAATGAATACATTTTGAGGAGAATAATGCTCCATAGAAGGCCATCGATCATCCTGCAGTGGGTGGCTGTTCAAATAGAATGCAAATTAACCTCTGGTCACCGAAATCCCCACGCCGATTGATAAACGCCATCGCAATCATCATCATTATCCTCCGATTCCACTCGCCCAAATTGAAACGCAAAGTGTAACCAAAACCGATGTTGAGCAATTTCCTTGCCTAACACCTGACCCCAATTTCCCTTTTTCCCTGGCCCGCTGCTAAGCGAATTGTGAAGCTCTCGGATGGCTCCAGTTTCACCCTCCCTTTGTTCCGACCCGAAATTCAATTAACATTTTTAATTCCCCCGCTTTGCACTACTTAAAAAAGGCCCGGCGGCCCTTAACCCCTCAATTTGTAAGACTTTGTCAAGGAGAGGAATATTATTAACACTGCTCTATACTTAGCTACAACAAGAATCTAATCATAAAGTGCGTTCTGTTCGAGCAAAGAAGGTCCAATACCGTTTAAACTCTCGAAGGAGATTTGGGGCGATTTGCCTCAATAATCGTTTCTGAGCTTAATTCAATTTAAGTTTTTTACTGGCGAATTGTGCTGTCGAAGATGTGGATGTTGTGGTCAAAAGAAAAAGTTAAGCCCCCTGCTTAGCCCAGATCAAGAATTCAGAATTCAAGAATCAATTTTGGTAATTTTGGCTTCCCATCTCTAAATAATTTAGTCTTTAATTAGAATGGCAATTTGTAACACAGCCCGAGAAATTGGGTATGGTGAAGTCAAACATTAAAATATTTAAATGTTCATTTTCTTTTACACAAACGTAATTAAAATAAACATAAATCAAGTTAATTAAATTAATACAAAATATAATTGGTTGACCTAATAGAAAAGTTTTAGACTTTCAATATTTTGTCATTAAAACTCAATTTCTCCATGCTTAAAAAATAATTTAATATGTAAATGCTCATTTTAAATATAAATCCAATTTGTTTAAACTTTCTATGTTGTTGATTCAAAATTTGTATATTTAAACCAAAAAAAGAAAAATATAAAAATGTATGGCTCACGTTTTGTTTTAAATATGAAAATTATTAAATAAAAATGAAATTGTAACGCCCTTTAAAACATCTCTCAGTACCGAAAATATTTCATTCAAAGTATAATATTGGTTTACCATGTTTAATCCTATTATTGTTTTCAAATTTCTTTATTCTTCCGGAAATAACAGTTAAATAAGTATGATAGATATTTTCTGTTGTTTGGAACGCATGTTTGATTTTGGGACCATCAAGTTTTGCACAGAGAAAAACAACGTACTTAGATCAATATAATGGTATTCCATCAAGACAACATGGCAATTAAATGAGTTAAAACCAAATGGTTACGAATTAAGACCACTTTTTCTAGGCAAAAAAAACTTGTGCCAAGACAAATGGTCTGGATTGGTGAACAATATTTTTTACCCGCTTATACATTGCATTCAAATGCATTCAATATTTCCTTTTAAGTTCTTGCCAAAACACACCGGAAATTGTTTTCTGCTCTCGTGAAAAGAAATCAATTTGAAGTAGTCCGCACAATGATGGCTTGTCCAATGAACCCCTGTTCTGTTTTGAGTGTGTCTGCCTTGGTTAAATCTCTTAATTAAAGCTGCAGCGTTGCATGATGTATACTCCCATGTAACTCTTTCCTCACTTTCAATTCACTTCTCCCAGTTGCTGCAAAACTTGCCTGAGGTTATTTTGCTGAAATTCCATTGTATTGCAATCCCACACAGATGCGGATGCATATACACTGCCACAATGACCAAGCCGTTTCGGAAGGCTATTTGCAATGGGACATTTATTTTTAGCTCGACAACGGAAAACATGCCGGACAATGACTTTTTAATGCCCTGCGTGTGCGAAATTTGTGATGAGCAAACGGAAAAATCAAAACTCGTAGCCATTTTTTATGCTGTAAATATTCTGCTAGCATTAAACGAATAAAACAAGGATCCAGAAAGCATGATTAGTTGATTGAAAATATATAATAATATTTAGTTGCTTGAAATTATTTAAATTAATATTAGTAATTCAAATTATAAGGGAACAGTGCAATAAACTGGTGACATAATTCACTAAAGCATATATGTTTTGGGAGAGAAAAGGTCTATCTTTCCTCCCCTCTCAAAAACATACCACACATCAACGAAAGACCCATGCCCAGGCCCATAAGAGGCAATCAGTCTTGTGATAGGGGCCACACTCTGGTGACCTTGATCCGAGCACAATTCGGACACACTCATTAAGACGATGTGTATAATGTACGAGTGTTTCAGATTAATTAAAACAGTCGGGCCAAGCCAAACAGAAGCACCCGAGAACTGCGAACTGGGTGTCTGAACCATGCCACCCACTGCCATTTACGTCTAATCAGATATATGTATATATATATATCGACGCTGCAGGGCGCTGGGGACTGTTGTTATTCTGTTCGGTGTGCGAATGTGTGAAATACATTTAACGCCTCGAGCCATAATTTACGAGCCGTTTTAGCCAACGGTGGCCAAATAAATCTGCATTAGGGAGCAAGCAAGCCACTAGAAACAAGAAACAACAAACAGCAAAGAGCAAACAGCAAACAGCAAACAGCAAACAACAAACAAAATCGAAAATCGATCTCACGATCTGTGGTCACTTGATGCCGGTACCTCGTAAATGGTATTCATAACTCTCACCCGCTCCACCAGACTTTCGGCGCGGCGCGCGAAGGAAGCGCGTTTATCGGCAATGGACATGGTTGGATAAGGGAACTGGAACCGGGACTGGAGTATCCAGATTATGGGGATTATTCGGGAACCGACAAGTCACAGGGGGCCGAAATCACAATCAGCTGGAACGAAAAGAAAATAAAAGTTTATACTGACTCTTATCTACGGCACTCGATCGATATGGATTTCAGGTTTTAATATCTAAGCAAATATCACAAGGTACGACAAAGCATATGCAGATACAGTGGTTATTGCTTATTGGGTTGTTTCTTATGATTGATACTTTTAGACCCTTTCCTAAATCACTTTTTATAGTATTTCACTAGTTTTTAACAAAATTTAATAGAAATAAAGGTTTTTCCATAAGGGAAAACAAACAAATGTTATTTAAAACCCTTGTGATAATTTCTTGTTTATAAATGATAATTTGTTTGTGCCATATGTTCATGATGCAAATAAGACCTTAATTTCAGACGCAAATATAATTCTGGGCAGAAAAGGCTGACAACACGCGCCAAAAAAAGACCCTGAAAATCTGTTGTTTGAGGTACCGGCCCCAAAACATTGAAAATCTGTCGAGTATTTTGCATATTTTTGGCGGACACTCTTAAAGACAAGCAATAATCATCAACTTGGCGTTGAATTGCAATTAATTTCTGTGCTCAACTTGGTTTCTTGACATTTATTTTGGGACATTACCGTTAAATCTTAATCGAAATTAGAGTGTAACTTTAACTTTAGACTCGAAACTGTCAGCTGCCGAGCTCGGCATAAATATTCGCATCAAAACGAGGCGGGGAAAACGGAACTCTTGAGCGGAAACGATCGCATGCGAAGAACGCGTCCAAATCGGAGGAATACCGCCGTAGAACTGATGACACACACGGCCCGTATGCTCGACTTTTGTAGCGGCGAGCATAAAGAGAGTGCCAGTGAAAATACGAAATTCATTATTTTATTTTTAAATACCCGCTCTCGTCTCTTTTTCCATTGTTTTCCCTTTTTCTTGGCAGATTGATTTATGGATTTAAGTGCAACAGGTGTCACTCACACACATTCGCTTGGAAATGCGTCGAAAGACTGGCGGACACACCCACTATGCCCATTCTGGAACTGATTGGAGCACAAAGCTGGATGCAATTTGCATAATGATATCAAAAGAGCACCGAGCGGTAAATTATGCTAATTTCGGTTTGATGCACTAGAAATCATTTCCCAACGAAGTCTAGGCTTTGTATAATAAAATTAGTAAATGCCGTTTCAAATCCATAAATAGCTACCCCAAGATAGAGCAAATTAAATTTGATCGTGACTTACTTACTTTATGTGTACTAAGGGGTTATATACAGTTATCACTGTGGACGGCTGTCCATGTAGTGACGACTAGCACCGGAAGGCGTGCGCAAGGAGACTAATATATAGCCGCAATATTCAAATTCAGAAAAAAACGAAAAAAGTGAATTTTCCAGAATTTTTTCTGAGAAGATTTTTAAATTTCTTTATCATAAGATTTGTTCACATATCTAAATAAATTTGTTGCTTTGGAGCACCTGGGAAAATGTTTGTTTAATATCAGAAATTTTATATAAAATTTATATACAAGCCTTGCTTTTCTTTGGTAAGGTATTTTTTTTTGTATTTTTTTTATACATATTTAGGCAAAATTGTTTGTTTTTGAGTAATGCAATTTTTAAACATTTGCCTTGTTTGGCGCCAAAGACATGCTTTGCCAGCCCTGCTCAATGGTTTGAGTCTTTGGTAAAGGTGGCCACCAATACTAGGTTCGAGTCGGCGATTAAGCAAGTCAGCTACAAAGGTTTGAGTGCGCGATAAGTCATATTTAGGGTATTTTGACCGTGTCTCTGCAGTTTTTAAAAGGCACAGCCACGGTCACACTGGTGTGCACTTTTTTTGTGCAATTATTTATCAAAAATAAGCAACGACGTGTGACAACGAACCACGAACCCAACGAAATGGCAACGCGCGGCGGTCCAATGGTGGCGGGCACCGACGGCAACGATTTCGAGTTCAGACAGCGCGTAGCTGGCACATATCAAATTAGGTTAATAACACTACACCAGCAGCTCTCTCCCACACACACGAAATTATCTAATTACTGGGCTGTGTGCGGCAGTAGGTGGCATTAGGTGGCACACATGCGGCCCGCAGCCTGCGCGGAGGAGCACCCCCCACGTCCTGGAGCTCCCGCCCACAGGCGGCTGCAGGGGGCGGGTGGGCAAAGTGCCAGCTGGGCAGCGCAGCTGTGGGGCATGTGCGCCCCAGTAATGGGCTCACTCCACATCCACATCCACACAGATCCCCAACTGAACGAGCGCTTTCTCTTTCAGCCTGCTGAACAAGTCCAGGTTGAAGTTCTGCATCTTCTTTCACGCCCTGCTCTTCTTCGTGATGCTGGCCAAGCTCACGTCGGACATCCTGGACCGCCTGGACATCTTTGTGCTGGAGATCGAGGAGCTAGAGGTGCCGCCGCCGCTGTGGTGGGAGTACGTGTGGGCCGCGTCGCTGCTCACTTCCTTCCTGGGCCTCTCGGCCGCCAGGGGCAACAAGGTGCGCGAGATGCAGAAGTACATGGTGGCCATTCTGCTGTTCGCCATCCTGCCGCTGTTCTACTGCTTCGCCTACTACTTCTCGGACGTGTGGGAGTTCGCCACGCTGGACAAGTCAGTGGAGCTGGACGAGACGGACATTTTCGTGTGGCGCGTAAGTGGCAGGGATGACACAATGAATCTTTGGGGAGATCCTAACTACGTTTTTCTACGCTTTCCACAGGGCTACCCGTACGGCGTTTTCTGGTACGCCTTCTGCTTTGTGGGCTTCCAGGTCCACGGATTCACGCTGTACTTCGCCTACAACCTGGTCAAGGCCTGGAAGGCCAGAACTGCCACGCGCAAGTTCCAGTAATCTAAATACTCGCCAAACTAGTAAACGCCGGAGAGCAGGGCTAGTTGTAAATAATTTGGAAACTTGAAACTAACTCAAAACACTAGTGCACAAAAGCGTAATGAAACTATGGTAAATCTAAAGTTATGCAGCTGTTAAGGTATCGCACACTTAGTCATACAGGAAGGGAAAACATATGGTCGAAACTAAACTAAACGAAGCGTCGGCGTTAAAGTTATTGTTAGTTGAAAGTTAAACCGTTCAAATGATTAAATAGACTCTTATCCATATACACATATACATATATACACAACGCAGCCTTGTGAGGTCGACTAAAGACAAGAAGCAACTGAAGCCACCAAATTTCCCCGAGTCGGAATAAAAACCAAAAACCAACCTAGAGATCACTTCATTTTTGCTTACTTACATTTCGACGTGCCTCGTGTTTGTTAGAAACGTTTTATATATATTTACACACATGAATATATGCATACATCAGTCTATGTTTACGTCTGCGGATGGGTACTTCCTCGCTTAGTTCTTAATTAGTTCTCTTTTTCTACAAATTTCGAAACCGTTTCATCATTTCATGTATTTTAATTTTGAACTTCAATTTCAATCAATGTACTGCACAGTGCCATGCTGTGTGTCGTGTGTCGAACGTTTGAGATACTGCCCCAAACTATTTACAACTTTCTGTCACTGTTTACACACAGCTAGAAACAAGGATACAAATGCAATTTGAGTGTTAAAGCAACGTTCATCAAATTTCTGATTGTCAATAATATTGTGTAATGACAGGCAAGTCGCCAAACTAAACTGGTAATTGAATTTTAATGTAATAATGTTTTTTAAATCGTAATTTATTATTCGAATTTTTAAGTAGTTTTTTAAAAATCGATCAATAAAGATGCATATATATTTGTTCTTCTGAGTGGGTTAAAAATCGCATTTTGATTGGGATGTTAGTTTATTTAAAAAAACTATTTAACAATTGTTAATTCTTTAAATACTTTACAATCTTCAATAATATTTTAAATCGTATCATAGTTTATTCGAATTTTTAAACATTCATATATATTTTTTCTTATGAGTATGTTAAAAATCTCATTTTCATTCGGGTGGTAATTCATTTATAACGTATTTTACAAGTCTCAATTTGATTGAATTTTTTACAAGTGAATTTTTATTTAAAAATATGCATTAAAAATCATATTTTTGGAAACTTATTGTTATGAACAATTATTTGTTGTTTCAAAAGGAAGGCCACAAGTTCCTGAGCTTTCCTCCTTGGAAAACACCACTAAAAGCCGACCTTTCCATCACCCAACCCAGCGCCACCCACTGGGCGTTGCAATGCGGCTGGCAAACCGAGTTGGCCACAACAATCCACTTATTAGTGACCATTTGTGCATCGAGGCGAGTGGAGGAGCAACAGCAGGCGAAAATTGCGCAATTGTTTACAATTACGGACGGAGAGCGAGGAAGCTGAGAGAGAGAGAGAGAGAGAGAGAGAGGAAAGCTGGAGAGGAAGAGAAGAGAGCCAGAGCTTTTTCGCAGCATCCTTCCCACCTTTTCTCGCTCTCAATTCCTCTTTCAATCACCATTTTGACGTTGCCTGTGTGCGGAACAGATGCTAAATTTTCCAACACACCATTTTGGACCGAAGTAAACAAGAAAACTAACAAAAAACAATTGTGAAAAATTCCAAATTCATCGAAAACAATTCGCGGATCAAAATGCGGGGCGAGGAGACGACCTACAGGCGCACAACGCGCGAGAAGATTGTGCTGCGAGGAAACACAACCATACGCACCGTGGACTCCACTTCCACATACCTGCCCGTGATGAGTCCTGCGGGGTGAGTGTTTTGCTGGGGCTGTCGAGGGGGGGTAGCAATTAGAGGCGCAAGGCGTGCCGGAACACTTGAGCGTTCCATGACTGTCGCCTCGAAATCGATTTTTATCTCGGGCTGCAGCTGATTTTCAGACACAGATATATGTAGATATACTATATGTGCGCAACCAAAGCGACCTTCGCTAGTGGTTTTCCGCTGGGATTTCGGATAATGCTCATGCCGTTGACAAGCCACTCAAGGCCCCCTTAATGCGGTGCGCTCGAATGTATGCTATAGTTTTCGGGACCCCGATTGCAGGCCAACTCTCGAGGACCGGCTTCCACCGCCCGCATGCAAGCCCGCCATTAAATAACATTGCCGGCAAATTATTAAGAATCCGCTGCCATTTGAGTAAATACCCGGGCATGCATACATAAGTGAGTGTACCGCCTTGCTTTCCCCAGAAATCGATGGAATCTTGGGTCAGCGGCTAGCGTGCATTGACCACAGTCCGCGGCATTGGGTAATACAAGGAGTTGAAAAAGAAGTGGTGTCTCATCGAAGCATGAATGTCCTTTTAATATATTATTACTTTTTGTTGGTCTTGGAGTTATGGGAATGAAATTAATGATTTAAAATATTCAATTTAAAAAGATTCAACAATTCATTTTGCGGTCATAAAACATTTTTAAACATACTTAAGTACCTATTTGATTATATTTTGAGATTATAAAATTGTCGTATATATACAACAATATTAGCAGTTTTTGATCAAAATGACAAATTATAATTATTAAATACATCTAAATATTTAAAAGTTATTATATAAATTTTTAATTTAGTAGATCAGAACTGATATTGCGATTTATCCCGAATAACTTTATATAACAGCCCATAGATTTTCCCTCCAAACGGTCAATCTGATCACAATATTTTGCTTCTCTTTCTTTAAGTTATGGTACCCTTTCCCTGTAAATTACCATGATTGAAACCGCCCCCAAGCAGCGCCCAGGCAAAACTTCCTTTAACCTCAATTCGCATTCACATAGACGCACACAAGCCAAGTTGGAAAACTACCCGATACGGAATGTGTGTAGTGGTCGCCTTTGTTGTGGACGCGTCGTCCAGTCGAGCGGTCAGTTGGTCTGCAACCCTTGAGTCGTCAGGTGGACGGCTCGTCTCCTCGGGTCGCGTTTTCGATTCGCTCCCAAAAAGCCAATCGAAGGGTCGGGGCGTGGACTGTCAGGCAGCCAAGTTTCCGCTCGAGCATAATCGCGTGTGTTTTAAAATTCAAAGTGAAGTGTCTGTCTCGTCGTTATCCGTCTGACGCCGGCACACCGCCATGTTCAACACCAGTGCCCAGAATTGGTTCGGCATGGGCCAGGCATCGGTGGCTCCCGCCGGCGGTGTTGCCCAGTTGCTCAACAACAACAACTCGAATCTCTACAACAACCAGCCGCAGCAGACGACGCCGCATCCCTTTATGCGCCAACGATCGCTGACCAGCTCCAATCCCGCCCTGGAGCGCTCCACTGCCATTTCCGTGCGGCCACAGTCGCCGCCCAACGTCCAGGTGGAGTACGAGGTGGCCATGCCCTTCGTCTCCGCCTATAGGCACACCCCATACCACTCGCTGTGGGATCTACACCAATGGTAAGGGATAGGCGTTCCTCTTGGGTCCGGAAAATGATTCGAGTGCCCTGAAAACTTGTCACCTTTTTATGCTTAAACGTGATTCAAGTACTTTTCAACAAAATAAGACCAATCTAATTATATTAATCAATCTTAGTCATTTGGGTTCAAAAAGTGGTTTATCTCCCTATCCAAAATACGTTCTATCACACTTAATTTTTTATTTGGACATTTTGAAATTGGTTGAAGTTCCAAAAATCTACTTGATTTTTTACATTGGTAGTGGAAAACCTTGCAAGCACTAATAAAATTTTATAATCCCCTACACAGTAAAATGCAAATTCGTCTTTCGTGCACTCAATAATTCAGCACTTCAGGTTCAAAGTTATTCAAATTTCATTAAAAAGGTTAGGAAACAATTAAGGGAAAATAATTGTTTTAAAATGGCTTGGCCTTACAATCAATTGAACTACCTCCTTAATTTATAATCTAGGCACCTTAAAGGATTTTCCTAGTTGCATAAAACTCAAAAAACCCTCTTGACCCCAACCAGTTTCCATCGTTTTGGCCCGTAAATGTATTTCTGCCAGTCATAATTGCCATTTGCTGTAATTTGCATAGGGCAAAACGTTGTTCTCTGCTGTGCCAATGGCTTTATTGAGTAGGAATTAGCATAAACACCTCTTGGTGACACGAATTTTAAAAAGACCATCGAAACTAATAGTCCAAGGATCCGCCATCATTGGGTTTTCCCATGCCTGGTCATTTTCCACGCTCGTGCCGGCCTTGTAACACTTTGCCAATCAATCAATGGATCAATTAAAATGCCCTTATTTCCTAGATTGAGGCCCATTGATTCTTGAATATTACATATGTATATAGGGCAAATAAGCACTGGCCTAGTTAGCCGCTCGGCCAATCATTTCCATCAGAAATCTGAAATCGTGGGCGAGCACATAGGAAACATTAACCCAAATTCGAGCGAGCACAGCACACAATATAAATACCAAGCTGATGTGCCAGGAGTCAGGCAATATGGCCGGGAATTATGTCCGTGCTGCTGCTGCCAACTTAGCCAACTTAATTAGCCTGGCGTAAAATATATTGCGGCACACTTACCAGATCGAGATTTACAATGTTGCCGCCGGAATGCCCGTAAAGGTTTTAACGCCGCCGGATGACGCATGCAAATGCCAAAAAAAAAAAAAAAAAAACAATTCGAATGCGAATACAAAAGTTAACAATTGTCGCCGGCACGTCAATAACCTGGCCGAGAGCCAAAGAGTTTATTGAACCCACCTGCCGAACGAACAGCAGGCCCCCTTGGGAGGCCCCACGAACTCTTTATTTCCTGGAACTTCCCGAGCATTGTCTGCGGAGGGACAGGGAAGGACAGCTACTAGGGCTAGCTAATATTAGACGGCTAGACACGAGGAATCCAACCAATATACATACCTATATGCACACACCAGGACACGCAAAGCACTTGCCCGCGGCTGATAAAGCAAATGACCTTTGCGACATGGCCAAGTTGAATGGCAAGCGCCATGGAGCTAACCAAAAAGTTATGAACACTAGACAATAAGTTTTAAAAACGTTGAAGCTATGATGGTTTGCAGCTCAAATTTTCGTTCCAATGATCCTATGTTTCTATGTCAGCTATGTATATGTCATGTATATATCGTTTTTCGATTCGAGTTAATTTCTATATCCAAAAGAAATTAAAAAAAAAGTGTAAAATAAATAAGTTAAAATTGGATTTTATTTATTTTTTTTTAAAATTCCAAATGTTTTTATGGGAGCTATATAATATAGTCGTCCGATTTTAATTACAATAACATCGTATTTCTAAATTATTAAAAAATTAATACATTTTGAAAAAAAAAAATTTTTTAAATTAAATTAAATTTTTTTCTATGGGATCTATATATAAATATGATATGGTCGTCCGATCCGGCTCCTTCTGACTTATATGCTACTTACAACAAAAAGAAAATTTTGAAAAATTTTTAAGCAGAAGAAGAAACGGACAACAGACGGACGGACATACAGACATGGCTAGATCAATTATCCAAAATCTCTAGCTTATATAATTTCCGAGTTCTAGACTTTCAAACGGACGACCAGACAAACGGACATGGCTAGACCGACTCTGCTATTGACCCTTA